AGCGAGTGTGCAAGCTATAAAACGATAACAAATCGTTCAGTAGAGTGAGTTTTTTCTTTTTTTTTTTTTTAAAATACATCTCCATGTTTTTCCTTTTTATTCCAATCAAGTTAATCTTTCTGGGAAACGAAACTTTTGTTTGGAAAAGTTGGATGAGCGCTTTTATCCTTGTCTATTACTAAATTCTGTGATTTATAAATGATCCATATGTTGTAATCAAATTGTATAAAACAACATATTTATGTTTTGCCGCCATCAATTAACGGAGGATGAAGGAAAGGGAGCATTTAGCTCTTGCACTGTACGATGTTAAACGATTTCGGTATTTTAATATAGCAGCAACATTACTTATACATTTCCTATATATTCCTTTTTGTACTTATTGCGCAATGTGTCACATAGCAAATGGATAATGACGAAATCAAACAATTTCGAACTGCTTTTGTTGAGCAATAACAAAATAGATCACTGATAGCATGTTATAAAGATAATGAAATAATTGGTAATGATAAATAGCAAACAATTTTGTGAAATCTCCCACCATTAATTATTGCAATCATCCTTTTTACCTTATTTATTGCAGTTTAAAATATGCTAATTCATTCGCATTTCATGGAACTCACAAATAGCGGGAAAAATCCTATTGAATAATCTTATTTAAGGTTCAATTAGGCAAATTAAACCTGAGAATTCGATTCAGCTATTAGAACTGTTAAACGATGGTAATCCGATTTCTGCAGCATATGAACTTTCTGCGCCAGGTATCCTGTATTTTTTACTTGTTAGCACACAGTAAATGAAATAAATTAAAGTTAACTATTAAAAGTTCAATCATTAAAAGGTCACTGCAATAAATGATGAGCAAACTGATTTGCAATAAGCAGAATTGATTTCATGCGGAAACAAAGGCAGGTAATGTAAACAAGGCTAATAGGAAAGCGGGTAATGAATAAAACTGCCAAAGGTCGTATATCAACAATAATCAACTGGAGCAAAGCATATTGCAAACAAAAGACAAGCGGTAGAAGAAAAATTTACAAATTCAAAAATTGAAACAATTCAAAAGATAAAGTTGTGCCTCCATCGATAACTGCGAGACAGTGTTGGTTCGGTGCCGGTCGTATATATGCAATTGCTGGGTTGCAAAAACTCGATTATGGGAATTGCTGGGTCACAGAAATTTGGTTATGGGAATTGCTGGGTTATAGAAATTCAATTATGGAAGAATTGCAACTCGCTGAAACTTTTCACTTCAGGTCTAGCAATAAGAGTGTGGAAGAAGTCACCATGTAAACTAATTTATAATGTTTCATGTTTGACCTATTGAGATAGCAATTTAAGAACATTTCGTGCGCAAAAGTAGTAATAGCTGAGAAGAAACATCGAAGGCAACGACAAGGAATTTGTTGGTTGATCATATTACTTGCTTTTGTATAACTCATTTGTCACCGCTTACCAGTTTATCGTATAATTATATATATATATATATATTTTAATACCTTTTTTTGTTGTTAATTACCAATATTGTGCAAAGGACGATATTACATCCCGAGTAAATCTATATCCCTAAGAAACGAGTTCAACAGATTGGCTTTTCCGACAGAAAGAGCAAAGGTCAAGAGTTAAGGAAAACGGGGAATACTTTAGTTGAATAGGTTGTTTCGGAATTTTCACATATTTCTACAGGTTTTGGCTTAACGATTCTGTTGGTAATGTTGCTCTTATACAGAGCATTATGTCTTTTTTGGTTTACCATATTTGTTGAAAAAATCTGTTCATTAACAATGAATAGCAATGAAATTAGCAATTAGCAATGAAATAGTATGAATAGCAGGAAATACTGGGGAAATAGTTCCAAAGTTTTTGTTCTGTTTTTAACACGCGCAGTCCTACACTTTAGCATTATTGGTAAGAAGTTTTAAACAACTTTGAAGATGTGACTTTAGAATTATTATATTTGGAGAAAATTCTTGCTGTTAAATTTCTTATTTATCACAATATTTCAATAATTCAACGAGTGATTGACATCGAAATTAGTCAATTATTCAAACATTGATTTATTTTCGGTTTCTTGTTTCAATCCATGTGTTATTGGTTAGTACAGGTACAACAAACTATGACGAAGCAGTGGATAACTTTAACGACGATAACTTATGCCGCAAATTGTGCCCTACCTTAGACATATTTTTATCATTGATTCAGGTCACAAACTATTTAATAACTTGATATGAAACAAAGCACCAAGCAAGGCTTTGCATAATTTTTAAGATTTAAAGTCTGTATAATGATACAAAGACATTTGGAGAAAATGAAAAAATTATCCATAATAATAATAGTAATAGGGAGGATAACCGTAGGAATAAGGAGAGTAACCGAAGTATGGATAATAATAACCATATGGAGAAGCTGACCCTAGTAATGAAGCTAGTAAAAAAGTTGCAAGTAAATCTGAACTAGAAGAAGCTTGAGGAGGTTGAGGAGATTGTTCAGTTTGATTTCTTCTTTGATCATCTCCAACAAGAAAGACCAACTGCATTGCGTTGCCATTAGCGGCCACAGTCTTAAATTAAAAAAAGAAAAAGTTGATGCTTAAATGAACACTAATGCCTAATACGTTAATGTAGCATGTGAAAGTTTAATGTTTGAAACTAATAAGAAGTATGAAACTTACGTTGCCGTTTACTTGCATGTTGCCAGTTAAAGTAGCAGGATTTAGTGCCAGTGCCTGTGCATCCGTTTCAGTAACTGATAGTATTGCACTGAAAGTGAAAGAATACATTAGCAGCTATGTATACTTAATGAATAATGCAATAACAGCAAACACTTTAACTTACATTATCGCTAATGCAATCAAATATTTGGTGATAACGAGTGACAGCATAATAAGCAATCCAAATACCTGCAATATAATCAGTAGTGTATAATTGGTACCATTACAATATAGCTTGCATCTTGGCTGCGTTCCTCAGTTGAAGGAAATATTTGTAGATGTCAGAAGATGAGTTTGCTCATGAGTAAACCTGGAGGGCTTATTTCTGCCAAGATTAGAAATGACCGATGTTCATCAGACTAGTTGCTAAATGGAAAGGACATTTAGCCTCCAGATGAGGATGAGCATTGCCAATATTGCTATTCTTGATTTAAAGAGTTCATTAGAGAAGAGGTAAAAAAGTGAAATAGACGATCATGAGTGATAAGGCTTTATAAATCATTTGTAACTCGCATTTGTGACATACTCGGAAAGTAAGGATCGATGATTGATGTTT